AAAGGGGGCGGAGCTCCCGGCTCGCCCCTCCCCCTCCCCATTTACATATCCCGGCCACGCCCCCTTGCTCCCCCAGCCCCACCCCCCCACATCGAAGCCCCGCCCACACTTCCATATTTGGCGCTTAGGGGGCGGAGCCGTCCGAAGGGGGGAGGGGCGGGGTCCGGGTCCGGTCCCAAAAGTTCTTTTTTTGTTTTTTTTTTTGTTTTTAAAATGTTTTTTTTTTGGGTTTTTCTGCCCCAAAAAGTTGAATTTTTTTGGGTTCAAAGTTCGTTTTTTTGGGGTCTTCAAAGTTGATTTTTCTGCCCCAAAAATTCGGTTTTTTCTGTCCCAAAATCTGATTTTTTTGGGGTCTCAAAGTCCATTTTTTGGGGTCTTAAAAGTCGATTTTTTCTGCCCCAAAATTTCATTTTTTTCTGTCCCAAAATCTGAATTTTTTTGGGTTCAAAGTCCATTTTTTGTGGTCTTTAATTCCATTTTTTGGGGTCTTCAAAGTTGATTTTTTCTGCCCCAAAAATCTGAATTTTTCTGTCCCAAAATCGGATTTTTTTTTGGCTCCAAACTCCATTTTTTTGGGGTCTTTAATTCCATTTTTTGGGGTCTTCAAAGTTGATTTTTCTGCCCCAAAAATTCATTTTTTTCTGTCCCAAAAGTTGGATTTTTTTTGGCTTTAAAGTCCGTTTTTTCTGAATTTTTTTGGGTCCAAAGTCCATTTTTTGGGGAATTTAAAGTTGATTTTTCTGCCCCAAAATTTCATTTTTTTCTGCCTCAAAATCGGATTTTTTTTGGGGTCCAAGTCCATTTTTTGGGGTCTTAAAATTCGATTTTTTCTGCCCCAAAAAGTTGAATTTTTTTGGCTTCAAAATCCGTTTTTTGGGGTCTTAAATTCCATTTTTTTCTCCCCCGAAATCTGATTTTTTTTGGGTTCAAATTCCATTTTTCCAGGTTTTTTTAGGGTCTCAAAGTCCATTTTTTTGGGGTCTTCAAAGTTGATTTTTCTGCCCCAAAATCTGATTTTTTTGGGGTCCAAAGTCCAGTTTTTGGGGTCTTAAATTCCATTTTTTCTGTCCCAAAAATCTCTTTTTTTTGGGTTCAAAATCCGTTTCTTGGGGTCTTAAATTCCATTTTTTGGGGTCTTCAAAGTTGATTTTTCTGCCCCAAAAATCTCATTTTTTTTGTGTCCAAAGTCCATGTTTTTGGGTCTTAAATTCCATTTTTTGGGGTCTTCAAAGTTGATTTTTCTGCCCCAAAACCTGAATTTTTCGGTCCCAAAAGTTGAATTTTTTAGGGTCCAAAGTCCGTTTTTTGGGGCCTTTAATTCCATTTTTTGGGGTCTTCAAAGTTGATTTTTCTGCCCCAAAATCTGATTTTTTTGGGGGTCCAAAGTCCATTTTTTCTGATTTTTTTCGGGTCTTAAATTCCATTTTTTGGGGTCTTAAAATTCGATTTTTTCTGCCCCAAAAAGTTGAATTTTTTTGGGTTCAAAGTCCATTTTTTGGGGTGTTCAAAGTTGATTTTTCTGCCCCAAAATCTGATTTTTTTGTGTCCAAAGTCCAGTTTTTGGGGTCTTAAATTCCATTTTTTGGGGTCTCCAAACTCCGTTTTTTTTCCATTTTTTCACCCCAAAATTCTCGTTTTTTGGGGTCTCCAAACTCCGTTTTTTCACCCCAAATTTTCCGTTTTTTGGGGTCTTTAAATTCCATTTTTTTCTCCATTTTTTCACCCCAAAATTTCCATTTTTTGGGGTCTTTAAACTCCGCTTTTTTAACCCCAAAATTTCCATTTTTTGGGGTCTTTAAATTCCGTTTTTTCTACCCCAAAATTCTCATTTTTTGGGGTCTTTAAATTTCATTTTTTTCACCCCAAAATTTCCATTTTTTGGGGTCTCCAAACTCCGTTTTTTCACCCCAAATTTTCCGTTTTTTGGGATCTTTAAATTCCATTTTTTTCTCCATTTTTTCACCCCAAAATTTCCATTTTTTGAGGTCTTTAAATTCCGTTTTTTCGCCCCAAAATTTCCATTTTCTGGACTCTTTAAATTCCGTTTTTTCACCCCAAAATTCTCTTTTTTTGGGGTCTCCAAACTCCGTTTTTTTCCATTTTTTTTTCCGTTTTTTCACCCCAAAATTTCCATTTTTTGGGGTCTTTAAATTCCGTTTTTTCGCCCCAAAATTCTCATTTTTTGGGGTCTTTAAATTCCGTTTTTTCACCCCAAAATTCTCTTTTTTTTGGGGTCTTTAAATTCCGTTTTTTCACCCCAAAATTTTCTTTTTTTTGGGGTCTTTAAATTCCGTTTTTTCGCCCCAAAATTTCCATTTTTTGGGGTCTTTAAATTCCATTTTTTCACCCCAAAATTCCCATTTTCTGGACTCTTTAAATTCCGTTTTTTCACCCCAAAATTCTCTTTTTTCGGACTCTCCAAACTCCGTTTTTTTTCCTTTTTTTTTTTCCGTTTTTTCACCCCAAAATTTCCATTTTTTGGGGTCTTTAAATTCCATTTTTTCACCCCAAAATTTCCATTTTCTGGACTCTTTAAATTCCTTTTTTTCTCCACTTTTTCACCCCAAAATTTCCATTTTTTGGGGTCTTTAAATTCCGTTTTTTCGCCCCAAAATTTCCATTTTTTTGGGGGTTCTCCGCACTCGATTTTTTTTCCATTTTTTCGCCCCAAAATTTCCATTTTTTGGGGGTCCCCGAGTCCTTCCGGAAGCTTCCGCTGGGTGCCCAAAAAAGAGACGTGTGGGGG